CCTTGCCTTTCCCCTCCTCTCCCCTCCTTCCCCCTCCTCCCCTGTCCCCTCCTCTGCTTTCCCTTCCTCTCCTCCCCTGTCCCCTCCTCTCATCCCCTCCTCTCATCCCCTCTCCCCTCCTCTCATCCCCTCCTCCCCTGTCCCCTCCTCTGCTTTCCCTTCCTCTCATCCCCTCCTCCCTTGTCCCCTCCTCTGCTTTCCCTTCCTCTCCTCCCCTGTCCCCTCCTCTCCTCTCCCTTCCTCCCCTGTCATATCATCAGCATTGTAATAGGAATATATACATGGCACCATCCCATTATGTAGGGAGCGCGGCCTTCCCTCTGCCCGTCACTTCCACCCACTTCCTGGACTCGCAGTGTTGTTTACGTCTCATTCCCTGCTGCTTGATATGATGACTACATATCCCATCATACATTGCTTCCAGCAAGCAATAATAATGTGATATTGTTGGGATGTTGAGGTCAGACGGTGGGCTCTGTGAGAGCGGTGACACAAGGAAGTGCATCTTCTAGAAGGATCTGGTGATGAGGAGCGGGAGAGAACCCCACTGAAGTCACTGATGTCACATGATCACCGTCCTGTACATACCCCGATACTGAACTCTGAGGATGAACATGACACTCACACTATATGGAGGGATAGACCCCCTGTCCCCCCTTCTTATACAGAGACCTTCCAACAACCCGCAATACAAAATCTATTCAAATATAGCACCAAGAATCACTTTACATGCCGAACAGAGACATCGACTTCCCGTTCCAAGCGGAAATATGGACACAACGATAAGGATCCTTATTATATCACTCCTTATCCCTCTATTCCTCCTCCCCTGGGATAAGGATCCTTATTATATCACTCCTTATCCTTCTATTCCCTACTCACCTGGGATAAGGATCCTTATTATATCACTCCTTATCCTTCTATTCCCTACTCACCTGGGATAAGGATCCTTATTATATCACTCCTTATCCCTCTATTCCCTCCTCACCTGGGATAAGGATCCTTATTATATCACTCCTTATCCCTCTATTCCCTCCTCACCTGGGATAAGGATCCTTATTATATCACTCCTTATCCTTCTATTCCCTCCTCACCTGGGATAAGGATCCTTATTATATCACTCCTTATCCTTCTATTCCTCCTCACCTGGGATAAGGATCCTTATTATATCACTCCTTATCCTTCTATTCCTCCTCACCTGGGATAAGGATCCTTATTATATCACTCCTTATCCTTCTATTCCTCCTCACCTGGGATAAGGATCCTTATTATATCACTCCTTATCCTTCTATTCCTCCTCCCCTGGGATAAGGATCCTTATTATATCACTCCTTATCCTTCTATTCCTCCTCCCCTGGGATAAGGATCCTTATTATATCACTCCTTATCCTTCTATTCCTCCTCCCCTGGGATAAGGATCCTTATTATATCACTCCTTATCCTTCTATTCCTCCTCCCCTGGGATAAGGATCCTTATTATATCACTCCTTATCCTTCTATTCCTCCTCCCCTGGGATAAGGATCCTTATTATATCACTCCTTATCCTTCTATTCCTCCTCACCTGGGATAAGGATCCTTATTATATCACTCCTTATCCCTCTATTCCCTCCTCACCTGGGATAAGGATCCTTATTATATCACTCCTTATCCCTCTATTCCCTCTTCACCTGGGATAAGGATCCTTATTATATCACTCCTTATCCCTCTATTCCCTCCTCACCTGGGATAAGGATCCTTATTATATCACTCCTTATCCCTCTATTCCCTCCTCACCTGGGATAAGGATCCTTATTATATCACTCCTTATCCTTCTATTCCCTCCTCACCTGGGATAAGGATCCTTATTATATCACTCCTTATCCCTCTATTCCCTCCTCACCTGGGATAAGGATCCTTATTATATCACTCCTTATCCCTCTATTCCCTCTTCACCTGGGATAAGGATCCTTATTTCTCTGCTATTCTCTACAAAGACTACATTTCCCAGAATTCCTCCCGGCTCTTCCCATCCCCCAGAATGCATTTCTGCTCCTCCCTCTCTTTCAGATCCTGAAACCATCCACAGCGATTCTCCTTCTATACAGGTATGTAGACAGCGTATACCTCCCCTATATACCACCCTGACCCCCGTATACTGTA